TGAAGCAATCATGCTATCAATTAGGGCTTAAGTCAGTCTTTCCTATTATTAGAAGAGACATTAGTATGAATTTTGCATTCATGCTTTCTACTGTGCTCCTTTAGTGCCATCTGGTGACTAGCTTGAAAGGAAAAAAAGTACGATTGTATTTCCACCTGGAGAAGTAGCTGTGACAATTTAAGCTAAAACATTTACTTGAGCAAGATCATATCAGGTGACATTTGATTTAGAAGTGCCCTTATCTTAGCTAGCGTAAGAGGATTTCTTTGAATATAATTTCCAGACCTAAATTGATCCAATACTTAATATCCAAAATTGTGTCATGAGTGTGTGAGGTAAACATTGCACTTGGTTAGAAATTTGGTATTCATGCACAGAATTAATCAAGAGGTAACTAGTGATGACATTAATCACTGTATGAAATTTCTGGTTTGCACCTGTTGAGGTCCATAAGTCTTTTGTAAATTGTAAAGCCTTTGTAGTTCTTGTTCTTAACGAGTTTATATAAAAGCCACATCAGCTATGAAAAAAATCATGTTATTCTTAGATAAATAAAAATAAGAAGGCTGAACACCTTATTTCAAATTTTTGGAAATATATATTTGACTACATCAGGCCTATACCTTAGCATCTACACGAACAGGCTGGGCTCCACATGGCTCCAGACATACTTAGATTATTGTGCATAACATCGCCATACATCCTACATACACACACATTTCCCATAACTATTCCCCACACACCCAATTCTTTACTCCTCTGTTAATCCTTTTTATATCATTGTGAATGTGATGTACATGAATTACAATTTTGGTGCCTGACAAAGTTATCCTGCCGTAGGAATCATATTGCATTCTCTCCTGTCACTGTCTCTGGAGGAAAAAATATGCTGGCTTTGAACACAACCAGAATATGCCACTGAGATGTGAGGCAGATGGACTGAAATGCCTTCAGCATCTAAACGAGTGAAAAATCACAATTGAACTAAAAATACTTCAAAATTAAAAGATGTCAGTGATTAGCCACTTTCATCTCAGGTGTTCTTAATGTGAGGTCAGTATCTCATAATATAAGGTTAATTAGAAAAATAAAGAAAAAATGTCAAGAGAATAAATCATCAGTTCCATTTTTTCTTTTCTAATGTGGATAATGGATTTCAATCTTTTACGAGATGCATGAAATAATATAACTGCATTTATTCAGTTGCACGAGTAAGACAGATTTAAACATAGATTATAAGAAAAATATTATCATGTTAGAGAAAGATAAGTGGTATTTTAATTCAGGTAATTTCTGGCACAAAATATTTCAAGTACATTCTTTTTTCCATTATTGTTTTAAAAAACTAATATGATTATGTTTTGCATATGTCTATATTGTAGCACTTTGTGGATTTAAAAGGTATAATAAAGACAGAGACAGGATTTATGGTTTAATTGCCATTTTTCATTATTTTCATAATTTTCTAAGAAAACTGTCTTTTGGACAGTAATTTTCCACGCTCTATTGCTTTCTTAAAGCTATTCTAAGCATATTTAAGTAATCTGGCAAATTCAAACAGTCCTAATTTTGTGGTAATGTAAGCATGAAAAATATTCATTTTGTTCATATTTCAAATGAGTTTTTCCTTTCTATGACATAAGACAGAGAGAAATTTCAAGTATGACTTCTTTGGAAATCCCTACAGAGAAAGGATCAGATGCTGAAGAAAGCAGTGGTAGCATTCCTAAACATGCACTCTAGAATACAGGGTAGTAGGCTGCTGCTTGTGGTCTCTGGTTTTATTCTCAGAACTCAGTCACTAATCTACTGACTGGCATCAAATAAATCAGTGCTGCTCTTTGAGAGTTCATTGCTGCATATTAAAAAAAAAAAAAGGCAACTCTGTGTCCCTTGTGAAGTCAAGACCCAATGAACAAAATCACTGTGTAATAGCTGCTGTTTATAGATACTGGGGCTTTTTAAAGTGGATTCTCTTTTTTTCTGAAATATTTCTTTAAACTTATGCCTGAGTAGGGATGACTGTGTTATTGTCTATATGGATTTATAATACTTGGGCTTGTCTACATAAAGATACATCAGTGAAGACCATGTCAACATCAAACAATCTTTAAGGCTTATTTTAGTGGCACCTAAATTAGCTTTTTAATTTTCCATTTTTTTTTTCTCTAGCAAAAGATCAAAACAAGGGAAATTATATGTGCAAAACAGTGAGAATGTGTAAATACCAGACATTTGCAACAAAAATTTACGATGCTGAATTTGACTTGAATGGCTAATTGCTTGAAGATTGTCAAACTTACATAGACTATATGGTTCTTTTCTTTTTCATTAGGTGAACATTCTTCTTTATTAACTTTGCCACATCACTTAAGCTTTTTTTCTTTGTGGGCTGGACTATTATAGTATGGGATGTAAGGGGTTGTTTAGAAAAAAAAAAATTTTAACCTGATGCCGAAAAATCTGGTATGAAGAACTGCTCAGAGACTTTTGTATCTTTAAGCAGCAAGGTATTTGTTTATTCAATGTCAGGAGCAAGCCAGCTCGCGCTGGATAAACTTGCTCGACTTGAAAGTGCAAAAGCAAGCCATTTTATACACTTTAGATACATTGTTACATCATTAAACATACATATTAATAAGTAGGCTAGTCCCTGGGCGGAGTCGTTCCAGACATGCGCAGTCTTCTACTGCGGGAGTCTTCTCCTCAAGCTTTCATCCCTCTGGTTCTTGCCATGGACGTCTTCCTCAATTTGACCTATTCGATTAGGTGACCTGAATTCTTCAAGCTTGCAAAATCCTGGCTCTGGGCCTTCTATATCTTATTCAAACATCTAGTTTACCTAATTTATTACTATGTGTGTACTACTCCTATTCTTTCTATAAGGCGGCCTTTGGTCCAGTGAGCAGAACAGAACATGATATTAACCAGTGCTCCTAAAATGTTCTTCTAGCAAAACAGATATTGGGGTTTCTTAGCAGGCCGAGATATCTCAGTTAACTCTTTTAGGCCTGGTTCCTGTTTCAACCTAAAATAATAAATACAAATGAATATATTTCAAACTTATTTTAATAGTCTATGAGTCTAGATCACATTTCAAAAGGGGATAATAGAAGATGCCATTCAAATATCTCAGAGCTTCAAAAGAAAGATTCAAAAATAAGAAAAGTTTTGCATACTTACCAAGATGAAAGAATTTAGCACATTTCAACCCCACGCAGCAGAACACAGTAAAAAGTCAATGAGTTGGTATCGACTGATTTATCTCTGAAACCAGGAGTTATATAACCATTGCAAAGGTATGATTTATTAATATGAGTGCATCAGCAGCTGATGTAGATGTATACTGGCTATTAGACTTGTGTTAGTAGACATACCGGTTTTGTGCTGCTCACTCAGAAATAACTGCACTGCAGTGAATTTATAAATATTCACTAGGGGCCTAATACTATATCCATTTATGTCAACACAACGTTCCCAGTAACTTCAGAAGTGAAAACTGAAACTCCAAATTTCATAATGAATCTACAGATAGGAGGATAAAACAGTAAGACTTTAGACACAGAAGCAGAAAAACAAAGCTCAAGGCATAACCAGGGATAAATCATGCTACAGCAGCTGCACACGACCAACCAGGTGGTGATACATAAAAAAGTAGGCATTTGAGAGTATGGTATGTCTTTACATGATTTTTCTAGGAGTAAATTTGTCCTTGTCAATTCTGAGGTCATTCCTATGATTAGCAATATATGCTTCTAGTGTGTGGAACATAATGGGCTTTAAAATATTTTAATTCTTTCATATACCTGTGGCCTAAAATAAAAATTCATCTATTTCAACATGAAGTAATTTATGAGATTCTTGTCATTGTCCTTTACCATTTATTCAACTAACAAAAAAATAGAAAATTTGGCAGGTGATATAAGTGTTTAATTTTTTTTCAGAATATTTTGTAATGTCTGTTGTGTAACATTTGTGAAACATTACACAAAGATATAACATTGTTCTTGTTAAAAGCTTTACTCTGGAAACCTTGTTATATGGATTTGACTGAGCAGTTTCCTGTGCAGAGTACATGTGGTCAGCAAACCTTAACATCCTTCCCAAAAAGGGGCCCAACACATTCTCTTTGAAAGTACATAAAAATTGAAACAGAAGCCAAGTGGAATTCAAAAGCATTTCTACAGAAATAGCAGAGGTCAGTTTTAAAGAATCTATGGACTGCTATTGTCTTATTCTGCATTTACTGTGATAATGTTTATGCAAATTTCCTTTCTAAGTAAAAAATCAGTATTTTTTAAAATCATCCTTTTGGGGTTGAATTTTTATTGGTGATAATATTAATAACATTTTATCAGATCTCATCATGAAAAGAAGTTGATGAATTTTCAATGTTTTATTGAATATTCACCAGTATTTACTTCACAAATTCCCTTAACCTTATATTCTTCTTTATCTATGAAGCTCAGTACCAGAGTTTACCTTAACAACACGCTTTCCAAGTAGTGATAACTAGATCACAGTGTAATTTTTCTGCTCAGAGATATGTAGCCTTTCATTCTTTATTCCATTTCTGTTTCCCCTCTAGGGTAGGAAAAGGAAATTTCAACCTGGGCTGTTCAACATCATTCAACATTGATGTTACTTGTCCAACAACTCTCTATACTAGGGAGACCCTATGTCAGCTGCAGTTAGCACTTAAAATTTATCAATACCCACCTATGTATTTAAAGATCTCTTTCTTCTTTGTCTCTGTATACATTTAAAACACTAGAATCAAGAACAGTAAGAAAGTAAATAGAAGAGAGACATTAGTAGAAGAAACTTACATCTTTTGTCTCCTGGGTAGTTCAAGTAGCCATGAAACTGGAATTATATTGTCCAAAGATTGTCATCCTTTATAGAGGCATAAGCATCTTTTTCACTTTGCCTTTGCTGTGAGAGGTTTGAATACTCTGTGGTCAACAGCACAAACAGTAATGAGATCTGTTTCCTTCCAGCTACATGTTGCCTGTGAGCAGTCCTGAAGGTTACTGTCTGATTGAAATGGCTGCAGATGGAAATCCTCCTGTACAGCACAGACTCTCTTTCTCACCTCAAGCATCTCAGGTCAGTCTGAAAGACATAAAAAAATAGCTATATGCTTTCAACATTTTATCAACATATGTACTTCATTATTTTCAAAGGAGAGGGGGTATTCTAACTAAAAAACTCCTCTTCAGTTATCATTAAATGTAATTAGTTTCTCTTTAATAGTTTTTTTCACATTAAGCATCCATACAATTTCCACTTATTTCTTAAGTTTACCTAACTCTGAAACTTCTATTTCAGCTGCCCAAAGTCCATGGAAAGGCCAGTGATGGTATGAAAGGAAAAAATATATAAGCGATGTCGTTTACCTAAGGCCATGGTGTTAGAAACAATTAAGATATTGCTAAGCAGTAATTCTAGTTACTTTCTAGTTGCAAGCCCCACTAGAACTAGTGGAAGACAGTTATGATCATCAATGATTTAACCTGGTTTCAGAATTCTTGCTAGGACTTCACTTCTGAATGCAGAAGTATTGCAGAAACATCAGTCTCCATTTTGAAACTGGTATCAGAAGACTCATTCTAAATGGTCAATAGGTAGATTTCCCAAATCTTGATTTTTTTCTGTTATTCTTTGTCTCCATGTTATTGCCTCTCTTTGTTATGCATTCTTTCATCACAAGATTATTTCTGCATGATACATTTAAAATGTTTTTAGACTTGAGAATTTAAACTGTGATTGACAGCTTGCTTTATAAGTTTGTTCACCAGAAGGCAGGCCAGTTACCTGTAGAGATGCTAATCATTCTGTGCAACTCACAGTATGCACCACTGGTTTGTAAAAGAATTTCTTCCCTTGCATGGTGTCTATTATGAATGTTGCATCCTCACGACTATTACACTTTACTGATCTGCTCCTAATCTCCCAGAGCCCCTATTTTCTTTACAAAGTACACAATCAAAGAAAGAAAGAAAAAAAAGAAATTTCTTATCTCTAAGACGACTAGCAGATATCTTCCCGTTACTGGTCGAGCTAATCATTTTTAGCACTCAGGCTCCAAGGAAAATAGCATATTTTCAAATTAGTATTTGAAATATTAGTATATTAAATAAAATTTTGATTTAATGCTATATTAAGCTGTTATATTATTAACAAGACTTACAGGAATTCTTTCTGTGTGCCTCCTTAAAATATATTCTGGTTAAGTCAGTGTCATGGTTTGAGATAGCCCCAAAATCCAATCCCCTAGTCTAAGCCCCCTCCCACATCTCAACCTAATGTGAGATGGGTTTTTCCAGACAAAACACACCAGACTCCAAATGGGGAAAGGGAATATATTACAATGACTGTACAAATAAATACCATATCACATTATACGCACGATCACAATATCTCTACTATGACATAAGTATTTACAATGGACCAGATCTCTTCTCCCCTCCAAATAAAAGTCCAGGAGGGAAAGAAGGACAGATCCCTTCCAGTCTCTAAGCAGCATCTTCTAAGGCAGCAGGTCATCTATCCTCTTCTCATGTATGCAGCTGATAGCTGGATCTCTGCCAGCACTCACGAGGGAGGTATCCAAGCTCCCTCGGCCCCCTTGACGCAGGCAAAGGGGTCTTCCGTGGGCTTCGTCACCCCAGACAAGGTCGTTTCACCACGGTCATATCACGAAGACACAGGGGGGTCTTCGTGACGGTCTGGTATCTCCAGGAGATTCAAACTCCTGCAGGGCCTCTGTGCCCTGTTCTCAGGCTGCCACCGTGGCAGCAGTGCGAGGGGGGAGCCAAGGTCACCCCCTCTGCATTCCATCTGGCCGTCCCGGTCCAGCTCCAGGACATCTTTGAGCTTCTTAGTTCCTCTCTCTCTCAGGTGCTGCATGTCTAAAACTCTCTCCAAAATAGGAGTCCATGTCCCTCTTCTCTAAGAGGAGTCTCAAGGGAGTTTTGGGGTCTGGTATTCAGTCTTACCCCAAACTCTGTAGCTCTGCTGCTGGCTCTCTCTCTCTCTCTCTCTCTCCCTTTCCAGGAGTCCTTTCTGCGATGCTGCATGTCTCTGTTGCTTCTCCAGTTCAGGTCTTATCTGTCCTGGCTCTCTGCCACCATTTCTCTGGTCAGTGCTGGCTGCTGCTCCGTGCCCATGGAGAAAAACATCTCCCGGCATAACTACAGATGCTTAGTCCAGTCTAACACTGTTCCAAGTCTCTGTAGTCTTCCCCCAGCAAGGGGCTGGGAGGCCCCAGAGGCCCCGAGGGGCTCAGAGCCCCTTCCTCATGGCTCTACAACATGGCCACCACTTCTAATAACCAAACTACAACTCATCTCTTCCGGTGCTTGTGATATGTTTACATTTTTGCAGGATCGCCCATTGGGCAAAACTTCAAAACTTCCAGGGGTTTCCATCCCTTGGGGTCTACCACTTTTCAGCCTCTGGGGGAAAAACCAAGGTCCAAACCACCACAGTCAGTTAAATTCAGAATGTAACCTTTACAGAAAGAATGTGTATTATGCTGTACTAGCATGAGTTAGAACATCTAATACATTATGATAAAATCCATTGATGCAAAAAAATGAGCAGAGCCTACTGAAGTTGTTCTGGGGTACACTGAATCTACCCCCAAGGTAAGTGCTTTTGTAAAAAAGGTCCAATAGTAAAAAAAATTGTGTTGCATGAGGACTGTTAAAAACATTTTTCTTTATCACTTAAGACACTTTATAATGCAGTTCAACACTTTGATTAATTCTTGAAACAGATTCACAAGCAGAGAGAAAATGTCTGCAAACACTACTTACAAATCTTGTCTTTCACTGCACTGGTTTATAGCTTTGTTTGAAAGGGGATAAAGTCAAGTGATATGAAATTAATTCAACAAGTGCTGAGTCAATGTCTTTGAATTCCTCTGACATGAAAAATCTGATTTAATTTTATCCATGCTCTAAAAGAAGCAGGTGTTTTTCTCTTTCCCCTCAAAATGAAAGACACTAAGTAGAGGAATATCTGGCAGTATTCACATTCACCGTAACTCCAAATTTCACTTGGAATTGTCAGCAACATAGCTTCGGGACTGACAAAGGCAATACAGGACACAGCAAAACAAAAATCATACAAATGTGTGAATTCCAGATAAATCAATGTGATGTTTTCCTCCTGTTCCTAGTTCTTTACAGTTGGTGTCTGAATACGGTAGTGAAGAGCCCCTTCACTATAAATTATCTCCTCACGTTTCACACATGCTGTGATATATTTCTTATTCCATTTGTTTACTCCTGCTTGACATGAATTGTCTAGGTTTCACCCTCTTTCTGGATTGATGGTATTGTACAAATAAATACATCATAGTGACACACCTATGAAAAAGTAATTATTTTTTTTAATACCTAAGAATTGACAGACATTTAGCAAAGAAACTTAGGAACGATGAAGCCCCATGTCAGAATTACAGAAAGTCAGGCAGCAGCTTGAGGAGTGGAATACACAGTGCTAAATGAGTCATACGTGCTTTATATGTGATGGTCAAGGGTTTGAATCTTAAGTCAGGCAAAACAGGAATTACCATAGTGAGCACTGATATGATTTGGTCAATCCCAGCCTGGAAAAAGTTGTGGTTGTTTCTCTAGTGCCTAGGCATTTGGAAATTTGAAAATTTCCCTTTCTTCCCCTGGGCTTCAGTATAGCAGTCTGTTTTCTGTCATTCAACAAAAAAACACCTAAAATCTTTTTTCTGTATTCATCTTATAGGGGTCCTGTAGGTCCCAGGAACTAAAGAAAATATCTTCAAGTCTACAGCTTTGGTGTTTCTGCACTGAATCTCAACCATGAATGTACAACACATCATACAGGATGAGGGAAGCCATGGGAAAAATTTACCATGCTCGCTGTGATTAAGGCTGGGAATTCCAATTTGTGTTTCATGGGAAACATATATTTGAAAATATGAAAATGCATTAAACCACTCTCTCTGAAGGGATTACGTTTTTAAAAAAGAGAAGCACATTTTTAGAAAGAATCTTTTCAGCAAGTATCATAGTTTTTGTCCATCTTCGAGTAATTACTATCTCCTTTATCAGCAATTATTATTCATTCATTGTTTACAGTAACTTCACAAATCACATTCTTTTCTGATGATTCTCTTTTTGTTTCTGCAGATCATCTTTGGATCAATCTTCCTTGGAAATGTTCCTGTTCATGAAGAGGTTCATCGATGTGCTGGGCCAATACATGGCTATAAAGGATGCATTAGGGATTTTCAAGTTAACCACAAAGAGTTGTTCATCATAGATGAGGCTCTTGGAGGGAGGAATGTTGAGAACTGCCATGTTCCAATATGTGATTATCATCCATGTCACAATGGTGGAACCTGCACTAGGTAAGAGTTATTTCTTTACTCATCATCCATTTACATTCTGTGGTCGGTAGTTTCGTCCTTAATGAAAAATTATTATCATTTTCTCTATAATGAAATAATCACCAACCTTTTGTCCTGATAATTTTAAACAGAAAATATGACACCCTCATGCCAGCCAGAGAGATTTTATACTTTATTTTCTTACATGAAAAGCGATATAAAATGTAATTACATTGTCAATGCAGCATACCTATTTGGTTGATGCCAGAATTCCTTTGCAACCAATTAGATCAGTTCCACTACAAGACTAAATCAGAACATTTGTATAGACAGCTTGGACAGAAAGCACATAAGATCTCATTCTTCAGCCTAACAACTCTGTGTTTTTACTAGGCCTTGTACCCTCACTCATCTTCTTGATGTGCTCCTGGGTACAAAATGTTTGTCATCATGCTATGAAAACACTAACAAATGACCTACTTGTTCATCTCCAGCACATGTGAAAAAGTATTGTCAAAGAACTTTTGACAGTTAAGGTGCATCGTGCTGAAAGAGGAAATGGAGTCTGAGTCTGAAAGAGACATGAGTTAAAAGAACAGAGGATGATGGTTCAGTTGAATGATGGTTCAGTTGTAGAACAGCAACTTCTTAAGCCATAGTAACTTGATCATTGTCTAAGGAAGTCAGCATTTAGAAACACGTTTTTGTTTAGAATTGATAGAATTTGTGAAGTAGCTGCCAATTTTTTTAAAAATCGCACTTCAGCTTCAAGGCAAATGCTAAACAGAACATAGCCTAAAGTTCTTTTGATGACTATTGTGTGTTTCTTAGATTCAGGAGGCCTTGAACAAAGTTTTGAGGGGCTTCTCTGCCTCCCTTGTCTGATGTGAGCACATGAAGAACACCAAACAGATTTTGATCTCTAGGTCTTGTTTGATTAAAGCACAAATGAAAGCAAATCAACTTTGTGAAAGCATACACAATTTACCTGCCAGTCTGGTGAAAATGAGTCCTTTTTCCTCTGTTGGTCCTTACTATATTCATATCTATACTATATCTCAGCAAGCAAGCAATTGACAGGACTGCTTGGCCTGTCAACTACAATTATAGAATACTTTTTCATTTAAATTTGGGTCCTGAATAATTCATGACCATTGGTTTTTTTACTGCCTTTCTGCTTTCTAGCTGTTGGACTAGGCCCTTTTCAAAAATGCTTTTGTTTTGATATGGTTCACTTCTCTTCTGTCCAGAGGAGTCATGTGCAAACCAGGGATAAGCAGCTCTGTAGTATCATGATTTTCACTATTTTCTACAACAGACAACTGATTTTCTGGGATTACCTCCTCCATGCCCAAGAATGAGTCATTCTAATGAGCAGGAAATCACGTGTCTGGAAGCCTGCATCAGTGAATAAGATGCTCCTGACAAAACTCAAATATCAAAAGGAAGCATACAAGAGGTAGAAGCATGGCCAGGTGACTTGGGAAGAATACAGAGAAAATATCCAGCTACACAGATATGGGAAAAGCCAAAGTCCATCTAGAGACTGATCTGGCAGGGGGACATGCAGAGCAAAACCAAATGCTTCTACAAGGATATCAGCTGCCAAAGGAAGACTTGGCAAAATGTAGGCTTGCTGCTGAATGGTGCAGGAGTTCTGGTGACAAAGGATTCAGAAAAGACTGAAATACTCAGTGCTTTCTTTGCCTCAGACTTTATTGATAATTGGCCTTCAGGAATCCTATTCCTCTCCTGCAGGAGAAAGTCTGGAAAAGGCAGACTTACACCTAGGGGGACAAGAATCAGATTTGGGAACTTTTAAACCAACTGGACATATATAAGTCCATGGGACCTGATAGGATTCACTCATCAACGCTGAGGGAGCTATATGATGCTATAGTAAGATTTTTGTCTGTTGTTTCAATTACACCGCTTAGTGGAAAAAAAAAGAAAAAAATTTTTTTCCAGTACATGTTATTCTTCAGGTGTTTGGCAAATAATTAGTGGGTTTGCTTCTGAAAGACTATGAATTATTACATGGGAAATATCTCAGCCATGTTCTATAATGAAAACTGGAGCTTATCAACATATACTTCTGAGAATAGGCAGGTCTTTTTCAAAAGAAACACTTGTTTACTGTTGTTCTTAAAAGAAAGTTACTTGCTGTTTCTCATCAACTGAGTACAAAAATGCTATGTAGTGTTCATCCTATTAATTACTATAATTATGCATGAGAAATGTATTTGCAAGAAAAAATGTTTTCTTTGTATTTTTTGGTAGAAAGAGGCAGGGACTAGTATGTAGCTGGTGTTCAGATACAAAATTTCAAATGCAGCTGGGGCCAGCAACTCCCTGTGTTCTGGTCATTGGCTACATCAGGTGCTCCCCAGGGTCATATCAGGGCAGGGCCCTGCACCAGGTGGGGCACCAGGGCAGACCCAGCCCTTTGGTATTGGGCGCATCCCTGGGTATAGCAACAGGCTGAGGCTGGGATGGGATATCAGTCCACTGCTGAGGGATCAGAATCTAGCCCAGAGAGGGGAACCAGGGCCAGATCCAGCCCTGATTGTCCAGGCAGGACAGTGGTGATGGGAAAGCAGAGCTTTATTATGTGTAATGGTGACTTGGGAAGACAAATACCATCACTCAGAATGTCTCCTGCTTCCTCCTTCGTACTCCAGCTTGATATGCTGAGTATGATGTCATATGGTCTGGAATATGCCTTTGGTCAGTTGGGGATGAGCTGTCCTGGCTGTGTCTCCTTACAACTCCTTGTGCATCCCCAGCCTCCTCGCTGGTGGGGTGGGGTGAGGAGCAGAAAGGCCTTGACTCTGCACAAATGCTGCTCAGCAATAACAAAAACATGCCTGTGTTATGAACACTATGTTCAGCACAAATCCAAAACACAGCCCCATATTGTGAACAAAATTAACTCTATCCCAGCCAAAGCCATCACAGTAGAATAAAAGTCATTCAGTTTTAAGAGCAGCTAAACATACGCTGTATCAGATGAGTAGTTCAGTACAAGTCCAAATTTTTAATTCTTTATACAGATACTATTGTATTAGATTTAAAAACAAGGTAGTCTCCTATGTAAGTGCTCTACTCCTTTAAGAAGCACTTTTTCAAGTTCACTAGCTCTTTTATTGCGCTTTAAATCTATGCTAATGTAAAATTTCAGAGACTGGTTAATTTAAAAGGGGGAAAAAATGACAACTATTCAGTAAATTTAGGGTTTGATTGTCATATACATATGTTCTACAGAATTCAAAACTCATTAGATTTGGATGTGTTTGAAAAGGGCATGGAAATATTAACCTAGGAGCCTCTTAATATTCTGCGTGGCATCCTGATCATATGAGGCAGATGTTGCAAACCAAGCTTAGAGTTAATTATGAAGACACATCTGTGTGTGGGAAAGAAACTCTCAAAAGTACCTCACCAATGATTTGACAATTATGTCAGCCACTACGCCAGTAGTATTTGATTAATGTTTGTTTTAAATCGTATAAAGACTCAAAAAATGTAAACACCTACAAGCTTATCTTTTACAATGTAGAGTACAATCTCAAAGTTAATTGCTCCCACAAACAATCATGTTTCCAGTGTCTCAAACTATTCTTACAGTGATTATTCGTACTGTTGTTATTCCTCATGTATTGATGCAGCAGATGGGTCCATTAATGTTAATCAATTTGCCAAGACTGAAAAATCAAACTCAATTAACAATAAATTTCAATAGAGAGACACTTATCTTCACATTTCAACTGCTATGAATGCTGTAATCACCAAAAATATATAGGGAATGTAATTTTTTAATTTTTATCCTCTGATAATGTAAGAGATACCTTCTGTCGTGGTTTGACCCAGGCCCAATTTTTCAAACCCCCACAAATCTGCTAAAAGAGTGAGAGAAGTTTCACACAGGGAGAACAGACTCAGCATGGGGAAATAATATCAAAATTTATTACTAACAGAATAGAAACTATAGAATAATATATACACCAATTCTAAATAGTGCTTCCTATGATGACAAACTATGTATTTACAAAAATCACCCTTCTCCCCCCATATTAGTCCAGAAGAAGAAGAAGTCTGTCCTTCACTTTCAGGATTACAGCTTCAATTTGCCATAGCTGGAAAAATTTCTCTCTCTCTCTCTCCTATAGAGTGCAAGGCCTCAGAACCCTGCCTCTAACTGCTCGGCTCCCACTGAGGGTTCATCCATGGGCTTTGAGGGAAACACTTGTTATCACCACGTCTTTACCACGGAGTACAGGGAGTTAAAGCTTTAAGTCTTTATTCCCTGCTCCATGGAGGTTTCCTTCCACAGGGAGTTTGCTCTCTGGGAATCCCTCTCCAAGGGGACCACCCCTCTTCCCAGGGTCAAAAGGTTCTGGGGTTTTGGCTCAGTCCTACCCTAGAATGTTCCAAGCTTGGCCTCTCTCTGCTCTGCTCAGCTCCCGGATGCAGGCACACTCTCTGCTCATCCAGTTCATTGCTGCTGCTGCTTCTGCTGCTTTGGCTGCTGCAAACTCAGGGTCTGGCCACCCTGGTCTAGCTTGCAGGACATCTCTGGGCCCTTCAGCCCTTCTCTGCTGCTCCGGTTTCAGCTCCAGTAGTCCCCTCCCACCTCCATGGCAGGGAAGGGGTAGCGAGACTGCTTAAAGTTTCTCTCTCTCTGCCCCGTTGCAAGCTCTCCCAGTGGGACACTCCCATGTTCCTCGGTCTGGCTCTGTGCCATGCTCTGCTTCTCTGAGCAGCTTTTCTCTTGCTCTCTGGAATTCTTCTGATCTTGGCTGCATACCTTTGGCCAGGAGCCCAGTCTCGGCCCTGGCTGTAGCTGCCACCACTTCTTCACGGGGGCTTCTCTGCTCTGAACTGCTGCCTGCTCAGAGTCATGGCTGCCAGCCTGGAGTCCTCCTGGGCCAGGGCTGGCAGAGTCTAGCCAGTCTATCACCACCCTCTCCTCTGCAGTGAGGGAAGTTGGTGAGGCCAGCCGGAGAACTCCTGGGGAGTCT